TATCCATGTTGGGTGTGAGCCTCATCCAGATGGATTGCTATTAAATTCCGCAATCTTTTTGTAATCCAAAAGATTGACACGAATAAAAATAGATCGTACCTTAAAACGCAATCAAACCATGCTAATAATTTTTATTATCTTTTGAAGACGATTTTGTAATAATTTTCACTATTACTAAGTACAAAAGATTGCGCCGAATAAAAAATTGGCGATGATGATGATACCATCACGAGATCGATGGCCATGGCAAGGACCACCGGCCGTATCCACGTTGGACAATGCGTCGGCGGCCAGATGGATTCCAAATGGACTCGGCCGCTTCTCAGCATCCCTCCAAACCTGCATGCGCGCGCATGCATTCATGTGACCCGATCTCCACCTCACTCCACCACCACAGTCCACAGCCCTTCGCTATAATTGCCTGCCGTGGCCGATCCTACTCGCAGCACAATACGCAGCTGAAGCCGCCCACACCTCATCTCCATGGCGGGCATGCTCTGCGTTGCTCTCCTCCTCACGTCCCTGATCTGGTCAGCCGCGCCCACGGCCGGCTTGGCCGGAGATGGCCGCCGGCAGCAGCAGCTAACCGCGCTGCCGCCGAGGGGCTGGAACTCGTACGACTCCTTCTCGTGGATCATCGACGAGGCCGCGTTCCTCGACAACGCGCGGATCATGGCCAACAGGCTGCTCCCGCATGGATACCAGGTATCACACACCAAGCCCTTCATAGTTTTTTTTTTCATTCAAGTATGGATGATCATACTGCATTTCTTCTCTGTTGCGGCATGACATAACATTAGATGACGCACCGTGCACGCAGTACGCAGTGATAGACTTCCTGTGGTACCGGAGGATCGCCGCCGGCTCGGGGGTGGGCGCGTACGGCTTCGACAGCATGGACCAGTGGGGGCGCCCGTACCCTGACCCCCAGAGGTTCCCGTCGGGCCGAGGTGGCGGAGGGTTCAGGCCGATCGCCGATAAGGTCCATGCCATGGGCCTCAAGTTCGGAATCCACCTCATGAACGGGATCAGCACCCAGGCCGTCAACGCCAACATGCCCATCCTCGACGTCCGCACGGTACTCCTCTCCATCTTGATTCCTTTTTTTTTTCTTTTATTGTTACTTTTGGAGTAGTAGCTGGTTTTGTCTTCAGGTTTGGGTTGCTTACCACATGTTCCACGTGGTCTTCCAGAATAGCTGAACTTTGCTTCGTCTTGAAGTTTTTTGTAGTTATCATTTTGCAGTATTTTGGTACAATCTTTCACGTCCAAAAATATATACATATTTTCATATGTTGCTATCTATCTATTCTTCAATTCTATCATCATCTTCTTTCTAATTCTAGTATATAAGAGTGAATTTTGGAGATCCAACGGATCCCACCCGCTCATCCACGTCAATCCAAAAACCTATGTTGATTTGATGTTTAGTGCTAAGCATGTTTAGCATGCTCAATATTACATTTACTTCCCCCCAAAAATATTATAGTTATTTAGTATTATTACTATCCAATTATTATTGTTCAGTAATTATTACTATCCAATTATGTCCATGTAATAATAGTTGCTATCTAATTATCTCCAAACAGCACATAATCTTGTTATACCTACCATATTTTTGTACACAAGTATATACACAACAGCTTGGATCAAATCGTCCTCTTAACTAGAAAGTAAGGTTGGCCTTTCTCATCATGAAAGTAGTAGGGTTTTTTTTTTTTTTGAAGGGGCATGACAGTAGTAGTTGCTTGAGCGGAGTAAGTTACCTCGTTACAGCTATACAAGAAAGAGATCTTAGTGTGTGTTTTTTTGCAATTTTTATTCAGGGAAAAGCCTATGTAGAGAATGGCCGACAATGGAGGGCGCGTGACATAGGCCTCACCCACAGGACATGTGCGTGGATGCCGAAAGGATTTATGAGTGTACATACGGACCTGGGAGCTGGACGAGCATTCCTAAGGTCTCTCTATCGACAGTATGCCGACTGGGGCGTCGATTTCGGTAAGCAGAACTTCATACTAATTTTCAGTTACATTATTCTGAATTTCAGAAGTGGATTGCAGTCCTTAGAACTGAAATCTCAGCAAATGGTAACATAATGCACCAAACTGTTCTGCTTGCAGTGAAGCTAGATTGCATCTTCGGCACGGATTACAGCCTGAAGGAGATTGTGACCGTCTCAGAGGTATGAACTAATGTAGCCCTCCATTCTAGAATCAGCTACATCACAATTGGCGATCTGTTGAGATCAACTCATGGGAAGTACACATTGCGTTTTGCAGATCCTGAAAGAGCTTGAGAGACCAGTCGTCCTATCCATCTCCCCCGGAACCGCTGTCACTCCAGCATTAGCTGAGAATATCACACAACATGTTGACATGTACAGGGTAACAGGAGATGACTGGGACAGCTGGAAAGATGTTCGCCCACATTTCGATGTCGCCAGGTAGATTCCATTTAAGTATAAGCTCCTCACACAATTCTAGAAACACGGCAACTGCTGCTTGTTGTTTGCAGTACAACCAATCTACTTTATCTTCTTTTTCACCGCGCATATAATATATAGATCATTTGCTGCTGCGAATAAGATTGGCGCCCCTGGATTGCGAGGGAGGTCCTGGCCAGACTTAGACATGCTTCCATTTGGCTGGCTTACTGATGCAGGTGATCATCCATACCATAACTTCATGACACTTTCCTTTTGTAATGCACGACTCGGTTCTACTTTTCATGTGCATCGGTGTGACTAAGGGCATATACAATTAGGGCTGGACACGAGCCGAGCCGAGCCGAGTTCGGTCCGAGCCTGGATTTGGCTCGCCATGAACGAGCCATGCTCGGCTCGGCTCGCTAGTTGAACGAGCCCGCATCTGGAGGCTCGGCTCGTCTTGCCTATGGCTCGGTCCAGCCCGAGCAGCTCGTTTTGCCTCTGGAGGCTGGGTGCGTGGGCGTACGGGCGCCTCAGGCGAGGTTGGCTTGACGGCGTTGAGGGGAGCACGACGGAGACGTGCCGGCGTGGCGAGGTCGGGCGTCTGGTGCGTCGAACGCAGGTGGCTAGCCTCCGTAGCAGTTGATCTTGCTTCCTCTCGTACGTGTGCATCCAGCCAACTCCAGGATTCAATCAACGTGCTTCAAGTTTTGTACTTGTGTCCAAGAATCAATCAACAGGCTGGTGATGCGTGCGTGCGCTGCGGCCGCTGGATGCGCTCGTGCGTGCCGACACCGGTGGCAGGATGCGTCGTGGTGGCATGCAGGAAATAGCTTGGCGAGAAGCGTGGGACGGCGGCGGCGGCGGCGGCGAACCCTAGCGGGAGGAGACAGTGGAGACGACGCGACTCGCTGGGTTGGGCTGGTTGCGCTCCTCTGCTGGGCTGCGTGATTGCGTCGCGTCCTGGGCTTCGGCTTCCGACGAGCCACCGAGCTGGACCGGGCCAAAACAGGCTCGGCTCCGTCGGCCAACGGGCCCATTTCACGTGGCTCGGCTCGGCCTATTTAGCTCTCGGGCTGAGCTGAGTCGGGCCGAGCTGGAGCGAGCTCCGAGCCGAGCCCATTAGCCCGTTCGGACGTCTAGCCCCACGTACAATGGTTGATAAGATAGTCTTATATTAAGTTTTGCATGTAATTTAGAGATGACAAAGAAAGATGTCTACAATGGGTCATCTCTTAGCCCTATCTTCAATAAGTAGCAATTCCTAAAAATGTGGTGAGACATATTGTGCTAAGAGATCATCTCTTGTCTTATCTTAAATAAGAGAAGACAAGCCTTCTCTTATGAGTTCTCTCTCCTCCACCTCATTATTTATCCTACGTGGCACCCCTAAGATAGCACCATTATACATGCCCTAATCGTTCAAAAATTTCTGATCTTTCTCTCATACAGGTGCTAATCAGGGACCTCACAGAACCACTAGCCTTACATTTGACGAACAAACAACACAGGTTTGCAATTGAAGAAACTTCATCTCTGTTTCCAAGTTGGAAGCCGAAGTCTTAAACCTTTGAACACATTTTTGCAGATGGTACTTTGGTCAATGGCTAAATCACCGCTCATGTATGGTGGGGACTTGAGGCGTCTCGATGATCGCACATTCAATCTAATTACCCACCCTACTACTGAAGATAAATCACCACACCAGAAACAACATGGAGGTGAACTAAATATTAGTTGGAGTCCGGAGATTCCTGCTGCAATATATACTGCACAACGAGCTAACCTGTGGGTATTTTTTTTCAGTTTGGTTATATTCATAGTGAAAGGGCTTCAAAGCCAGATGAACAATCCGATCTTTCAAAGTCTGGCTATCCGATGGACGTGACAAACAATGGTGGAATGGTTCTTGGTCTCAGTACATGCAGCGATAAGAGCCCCGGTGGATGGCACAGTTCCTCAGAAGATCGCATTTGCAGAAGCTATGGAATCCAGAATGGCAATGCCTCGTTTTGCATATCCAAAGCAAAACTACTTCCAACATCGTAAGTGGCGTGTGACAAAACAATGCATTAAAGGAAGCAGTCCTAATCTTTTGAATTATATGTATGATCCACACATATTATTTTTATGCAGGGATGGAGTTACCATGAGCAGCGAGGAAGACCAAGCAAAGTTTCATCTGGCAGATATTGACACCGATGATGGTTGCTTGGATGCATCTGTCAGTCCATGGTGAACAAGCTCAGCGAGCCAAACTCCCATGTTCTCGGCCTGCGAACGGCACACAAAGCAGGTAAGTTCAGCCCACACATTGATATCCTGGTAAGAGAAACGGGATCCATGTAGAGTGAGGCTGAAATGCAGAAATTTGTGGAGCATTTTGTGTCATGAAATTGCTATTTAGCTGCCATAATAACCAAAAAATGGACATTTGATCATTTAACTTTGGAAATGAACTTAAGTCATGGTTGATCATTTTTTGCCGATAACAATGGCAGGCCTGGGAGCTAACAGAGAATGGACAGCTTGTAAGCAGTTACTCAGGATTGTGTGCTACAATGCAGTCCAGCAAGGAAGGAGGTACAAGTTATTCTACACCGATTCACCATAAATTAATCGCTATTTTTACCTAAGTAACACTTCTGTTTGACGCGACAGAGAATGAAACTACCGGAGCACGAGCATGGACAGCAATTGGAGACAAAGGTACTTTTATCTGAGCAGCATGCTTCTTTGCCAATGCACACTTGGCGAATAAGCGTCCCTTTTCTTTGGCTGATTCTTCTTCTTGCATGGAAGCAGGAGAGATCTACGTGGCCATCTTCAACCTCGACACTGCAAGGAGGAAGACCACTGTAAGCGTGCCGGATCTAGAAAAGGTTGTCCGGAGAAAGTTGGCAAGGTGCACCTGCACAGAAGTCTGGAGTAGAAAAAGATGGAGTGTGATGAAGGGGGGCATCTCAGCGGTGGTGACCTCACATGGCTCCATGTTGTTTGAAATCCGGTGTTGAGGTCTCTCTAATAATGTTCACCTGTTCAACTTGGAAGCATAGAATGATTGGAGTGTAAATTCTCTAGTTGTTTGTCGATCCTTTGTAGAACATACTTCTAATAAGGTAAGCATTTTAATTGATATTAGCAACGTGTGTGTGCAGTGCATGTGTTGACAAAGTAGACTAAATTCCAAAATCCGGGCAGGCGTAGCTGAAAATCTACCCATGGATGCAACACACTGATAAACAAAACGAATTGTCATATGAACCTTGAAAGCAAACCCGTAAAATATCCATCCTTCAATTTCAGGTCAAAGCAATATAGAGATATTGGTAAAAGAAAACTGAACATTTTTATTATGCAATTCTGAGGCCAGTCGCCAGTGTCAATGTGAGTACACCATTCAAGAAAGCACATAATTTTGTTTCTAAAAATGACAACAAAGATATATAGTATCCAAGAATATCGCATGCTGCGCTAGATTTTAGGCGGTTACACAGCCAATCAAGTTGGACAAAACCCAGATCACATCTACTAAAGATATTACCTGCACCATACCAAGCTCGCAGCCAATGTTCCAAAAATACTACCAAAGTGATGTAACTTCGCAATAGAGTTGTTGATGTTGCTATACTGACCGTGGACATTGGGATGGACAACACATCATGGGCTATCACTGAGAGCGTTGGGGTACTTGGCATTGTTAAGCTTCCGCCACTTCAGAATGTCAAATTCTGAGATGCGTTGGATGAGGGTTTCTTCGAAATGCTGATATAGTCCATAACAAACTGTTAAATATGTGACACCTTTTATCTGAAGCACAGCCAATACTATCCCTAGTAATAAAAGGTATAGCAAGTTTACCGATGAAACAAAAATGGTACTGTGATTTTATAACATCAATATGAAATTTAAAAGCAACCCCTTGCCAAAGTAAAAAACAAAAGGGTATCTTGACGTTGAATGGGATAAGATGGCTCCAGTACCATGTCGATCGGTTTTTTTTGGTGAATGTACATGAGAAATATTCCTAAAATTTGAAACCCAGTATCTAGGATGGTTTCAAATCAAGCAACCAATCACATGGATGGCCTTTCCCTCGGATATCTCTTGGTACAAGCAACTGAACACATTATACTGCGAAGCAGTTCAGAACAGAGCACCCTATCAAGAAGCTACTTGCCAAAAGCTTAACTCTGGCTCACTTGACATGGCCCGTTTCTGAATTGCTTTGTATTTGGATTGCTTGCAAAGTTTGAATTGGGTAATATATATTGGGTTTTATCTCGGAGGCGCCAACTGGTCACAACGCACTTAACATTGGCTTGCTTGAACTAGCCATTTCTGAATTGTTTGCAGAATCTCTACATGACTCTCTTGCAGAGTTTCAGATTTGCACTCTCTTGGGTTATTCACAGAGGAGCCAAATGCTTCCAGAGCATCAAGGGAAAACCCTGTTCTATTCGGAGCAATAGCATGCATGCTTATTCCTTCGCTAGAGCAACTTCCGTACAAGCAACTTATCGTTCGCACTGGTCCTGGTGTATGTATGCCTTGTAAAGCAACTTATATGTAGAAGTATTGGGCACTACACCTTTCTTAATCATAGTATCCAACAGCCGATGCTCCCAGCCCCCGCGTCGTCCGCTTGGGCGACTCGGGAGGCGACTAGGGTTCCCACCTAGCGGCTAGCGCCGCCACCCCCTGCCTCCTCCCCCCCTCATCACCACCCGAGGAGGCCGCCAGCAAGCTGTGCGGTCACCGGTGACGGTGGCGTCGAGGCCCTGCTCGCTCCGTTCCTGGCGGAGGACGGCGGATCTGGGGTGGCGGCCCTTCATGGCGCGGCGGCGGCGCCCTCCCGGCTGGCGGCGTCCGCGGGGGATCCTGGCCGGTGTTCCCGACCACGCGGGTGGTGGCTGCGGCGTGGAGACCCCCCTCCTCATCAGATCTGAGGTTCGGCTCCCCTTCCCTTTGGCTCCTCATCCTCGCCGGTTTCAGCAGCTTCGGTCGCCGGCTAGGTGTGGATGGATGCTCGGTGGTGTGGTTTTGGGACCGTGGGAAACCATCGGTCGGCTGGTCCGGCCCGGCGGCAGCGACGCCCTTGGGCGCCGCCCTTCCTCATTGCAGGTGCAGCCAAGGTCCCATCCCAATCCATCCCCGTTCCCCTCCCGGGTGAAAGCCCAAAATCCTTCTTGGATTGGGCGGTGACGGCGCGCTGCGCGTCGTGTCTTCCTTGGAGGTGCCGCCTGGGGAGCGTGCGTTCGGGTGAGGGGCGGCAAAGGTGGAGTTTTGGGCGGCTCTGGTTATCCGGTGGCAGTGGGGAGGTCTGGTTCGTCCTCATCGCTCTGCGGCCTCTCCTGATGTCCTTGCTGCTTGTTCTTCAGTGGCTGCTCCCGGTGGCTTTCCCGCTGTCTTTCAGGTGTCCTTGGTTGCGCCGGTGTGTCAGATGAGGTGTGCTTATGTCCTAGGAGGTGTGCTCTGTGCCTGTTCCAGGACTCGAGGTCGACATCTCTCCTGCTCTAGGGAGAGCGTCTCTCATGTCCGTCGGCGGCGCCTTTCGATCCAAGGCGAGAGGGTAGGGTCCCTCTACGGCGAGAGCAAAGGAAGATGATTTGTTTCCTCCAACCTTGGACTCAGTCATGTCCACAACTCCACTCTGTTTCGGCAGGTCCTCGTCGTGTTCATGTTGGTCGCAATCCTTGGTTCTTGTTTGCTGCGGTCTGCGGCGTGTACTAGTTTGGGCTTTCTCTTCTTTGTGTTGTGAGCTTGTATACTGCGTTGAGTTGTAAGCTTCCTAGGGTCCTCCCTTGTTTCGTTCGGCCGATGTGCTTGATGTGGTGTTGTAATTCCTGGTCGGCTGATGGCTTTGTTAATTCAAAGCCGGGCTCATCGCGAGCCTTCGTTCTAAAAAAAACAGCCGATCTGCTTCCATAGGCAAGCGGTTCATGCAGAGCATTGTGTTCAATGAAGATAGCAGCAATCACAATATCAGTTGGGCCTTAGAGACGCAATCACAAAATGCGTACATATCGATGAGACACTCTTGCATCGCATAATTCGATTTGAATCCCAATTCTTCCGTCTTCTGTGCAGATTCAGCTTTCTCCCTAAGGCTTGCTTTCACACCAAACGTCAGGTGGGTAGGCCTCTCCTTGGATTGCAATAAACTCTTGAACACCTGCTCCATCTTATCGGATGTCTGCTTCCGCCCATATGAATCTGCGTGTGTAATGAATTCGATCACATCTACGGATTCCATCTGTTTGATCATGCCATTCTTCCCATATCCGTCAATCACTCCATTATATGCGTAGATATGAGGCTGGGTTTTCTCCCAGATTCTTGAAAATGATGTCCACCTGTTTCGTGTCGCTAGCCTGAGCACATACCCTCAAGAGGATGTTGTATATGTCACAATATTTGGCTGGTATCTCTCCATGCCCTTCATCTTGTCAAAATAGCTGAGTGCTTTCATGAAAGCCTTACTCTTGTCTAGTGAATGCAGATGAGCACCGACTAGGGAAGTGTATACCGAAGTGTCCGGCTTGCACCCGGTGTTGCACATCTCAAAGAAGAGCCACATGACCATCCGTATCTGACCCTCCCTTTTCCATCACATATATTCAGTTAGCCAGCAAGAGGATTAACCACTATGGGATTAACCACATGACCCAGGAATAACACTGTGCTTGTGCTCTCCTCAACCACGGCAAATAAGAAGGGCCGATCCGCCACAAAATCCACGGCAGACGAAACACTCTCAGTCATGAATACGACGGCCGTGGCTGCAGCGGCCACCGTGCCTAGCTCGTCCACCTCAATGGTGGCCTTATGGTACACCCCGGTGATGGAGAGCTCATCCCCGCCACTCACCATGCCTGAGAAGTTGCCCCTATTGAAAGCCCTGGTGACACCAAGCTTCTGCATGTCCGACGACGCCTCGAACTCGAACGTGAACTTAAACTTGGGGACCATGAACTGTCCGATTGGAACCTTCTGTGCCGGCGTGTGCTTCTTGATGAACTCCGGCATCGACACCGCCTTGTCGTAGAGATCGGCGAGACTGAGAGTGTCGCTGTCTGGGAGAAGGATAAGCATGTAGAATGCAGCTTGCGGATCCACTTCATTCTTGTAGGGCAGCTTGAGGGCCCTGAATCCTTGGTAGAACGCGATGTACTGTGACTGGTCTGTCTTCATGGACGGCACGCGCACGGTGCTGTGTTAACACTCACACAACAATTCTCTCAACTAGTCTCCATTATCACCAATTCGAGCTACAATTCATGAATCCATGGGTGGGGATCGGAGGAGGAGGAAGGATTAGCTGTTACAACACGGAAGAGTAAAGTAGCTTTCCAGCCAGCCATTCGCCAGCCACTCACGCGTTATCGACGGGCTTAAGTACAGTGCCCACATGGGCCCATTCCGGGCCAGCCAGCCGAGCCGGCAGGCGAGGCTGCCTCCTGGGCCGGCCCACTACTTGCGCTTGTTCGTCTGGAGCTTCAGTGCCTTGCTCGTTGCCGCTGACAATCCCTCCCCTGCTAGAAACGGCTTGCCCCCAAGCCGGTGCTCGTGGAAATTTTTGCTTGAGCTGCACCTTGTCTTCCCATGTTGCCATCTCAACCGGAGTGTCCCTCTACTTCACCAGCACTTGTACCAGAGAATTCGAGCTGCGACGCACCACTCGTTGCAATACTTGTTCTGGGAATTGAAATTGCATATCAGGAGAGGGAAGCTCGGGCAGTACCTCGTGCGCTGGGCGATTACCTTCCGCAGAAGAGAGACATGAAATACCAGGTGCACACGGCTGGTGATCGATATGCCACCTCGCCCACGCGCTCGACCACTTCAAAAGGGCCGTAGAATATGAATGCCAACTTGTGATTCGCCCTCGGAGCGACAGAAGACTGAAGATATGGCTGTAGCTTCAGAAAAACAGAGTCACCAACTTCAAACACCCGCTCAGAACGATGCTTATCGGCCTGTGTTTTCATGCGCTGTTGCGCTCGCAGCAAATGTTGACGCACTGAACCCAGAATCACTTGGCGATCATCTAGTCACTGTTGCAGATCAGCTGATTGCACTGTATTCTCTGCTGTCAAGCCAAAATGACGTGGTTCGTGACCATAGATGATTTCAAATGGTGTCTTGCCCGTGGCCGAGTGCCAATTCGTATTATACCAGTACTCGCACAGTGGTATCCATCTAGCCCAGTGAGAGGGGTGAGCACTGACAAAACACCTCAGGAAGCATTCCACTTGCTGGTTAACTCGCTCCGTCTGCCCATCCGTTTGAGGATGACGTGTTGTACTCATACGCAACATAACGCTAGCTTTCTGAAAAAGTTCCTTCTAGAATTGACTTGTAAATATACGATCTCTGTCAGAGACAATCGAACGAGGCATTCCATGCAAGCGATAGACTGTGTTGAGAAAAGCCTCGGCCACTGTAACTGCAGTGAACGGGTGGTGCAATGGAACAAAGTGGCCATACTTAGAAAGTTTGTCAATGATCACCATCAAGCAGTTATACTGTCAAGAAACTGGCAACCCTTCGACAAAATTCATAGTCATCATCTCCCAGAGCAAGTCAGGCACAGGTAAAGGATGTAATAAACCCGGGTAAGGGACTCGCTCAGGTTTTGCTTGCTGGCATATGATGCAGTTTTTGACATACTGTTTTTGAAACTGCGCATACCTTGCCAACGAAAAAGCTGACTGGCACGCTTAAAAGTGATTGGAAAACCTGAGTGGCCCCCAATTGGACTGTCATGGAACGCATTCACAATAGTGTGTTGCAACTTTGAATCTGCACCTACCCAGATATATTTGTCCACTCGTAGAAATCCAGACTTCAAAGAGAATTTGTTGTCATACTCACCAGAAGAAGAAAGCTTCTGCAGCAGGTCAGTGGAAAATTTGTCTTGTGAGTAGCTGAGAGCAATATCAGCAAGCCAAGTTGGTTGGACAGTTGAGATGGGAAACAATTCAGGCATAGTTTCAGAAGGAGTGTGTGGTTTTCTGGACAAGGAGTCTGCAACATTATTCTCCACTCCTTTTTTATAGACAATGCAATACTGTAGTCCTAGTAGTTTAGTCAGGGCCTTCTGTTGCCACTTGGTATGAAGATGTTGCTCAGATAAACTGGCCAAACTGCGCTGGTCAGTTTTGATTATAAACTCTGACAATTGCAGGTACTGGCGCCAGTGTTCCACAGCCAGCAGGATTGCCAGATATTCTTTTTCATAAACCGATAGTGCTTGATTTCTTGGGCCCAAGACCTTGCTCACATATGCCAGTGGGTGACCCTCCTACATCAGCACTACACCTACCCCAGTGTCACAAGCGTCAGTCTCAATAACAAACTGCTTCGAGAAATCTGGGAGGGCCAGGACAGGTGCTGATATCAGGGCTTGTTTGAGGGCTGTAAAAGCTTGCTGTTCAACCTGTGTCCAGTGAAATGGCACACCTTTCTTGAGCAAATTTGTAAGTGGCTTGCTAATAAGACCATAGTGGGCTATGAATTTTCTGTAATATCCAGCTTGACCCAAAAAAACTGACTTCCTTAGCAGACACATGCACTGGCCACTGCTCAATACAAGCAATCTTTTCAGGGTCAGTTGCAACCCCTTGGCTACTGATGATGTGGCCCAAATAGCCAATCTATGTTTGAGCAAATGCACACTTAGATAACTTCACTTTCCACTGATGTTCTTGCAGTAACTGCAGCACTCTTGCCAGGTGTTCCAAATGGAGAGCATAAGTGGCACTGAAAATCAATATGTCATCAAAAAATGAGATGGCAAATTCCCTAAGACAGGGAGACAGAGTATCATTCATAGCAAAATGAAATGTATTTGGACCACCAGTTAGACTAAATGATAGGACCAGGAACTCAAAATGCCCAAAGTGTGTTTGAAATGATGTTTTATGTTCTTCTTCAGGAGCTAGTTGAATTTGGTGGTAACCAGCTCTGGGATCGAGCTTGGAAAACCAACAGGACCCAGCTAGCTCGTCAAGCAGCTCATCAATAACAGGAATAGGGAATTTGCTCTTGATAGTTATTGCATTCAAATGCCTGTAATCAAAAATTGGCCTTCAGGTCTTATCTTTCTTTTGAACCATGATCATAGGTGATGAAAAAGCACTAGTGCTAGGCCTAATGATACCTGAGTCCAACATTTCCTTCACTTGCTTCTCCACCTCATCCTTGAGAGCAGGTGGAAGTCTGTATGGTCTAATAGACACAGGAGAAACACCTGGAATAAGGGGAATAGTGTGGTCATATTTCCTCCTAGGTGGGAGGCCAATGGGAGCTTCAAACACGAATGCATAAGTATTGAGAATTTCCTGAATTTCAGCAGGCAATTTAGTTTGTTCTGTGTTCTTGGACAAAAGCAGAGACGACAGTTCAATCATAGCTACAAAACTAGGAGTTCCACTTCTGTCAAAAGATAACCAGTGTTCAGCCCAATCCACTTGCATGGGGCTATGTGTGGCCAACCAGTCTAGACCCAGAATACCATTATAAGATCCCAGAGGAAAAGTCTTAAAATCACTAGTGAACTTGTGCCCATCTACTGACCAAACTCCTGACCGCAGCTGTTGGTTGCAGGGAACTAAATTTCGATTTGCAACCTTGACCATCTTAACAGGCATATCAGCTACTCCTTTAATTTGGGCAGCAACTGCATAATCCAGGAAGGAGTGAGTACTTCCAGAATCCACAAGAAAAGTGAGCTTGTGCCCTTGCAACTGTACTGTCAGTTTCATTGTTGCAATTGCAGGAATAGATGGTTCTCCCAAAGCTGCAACAGAAATACAAATAGCATTGACTTCTCAAGTACTCTTAACTTTAGTATCGCTCATATCTGTGGGCATATTCTGCACATACTCCAGCATTCCTGCACAACGTGCAGTTGAACTTCCTGTTTACAATGGTGATCTCTTGCCCAACGCTCTCCGCAAATGAAACAGAGTCCTTTAGATTTCCTATAGGCACGCAGGGCTGACCATCGGTCCTCAACTAGAGCTGGACGGCTTCATTCTACAGCATGCCTGTCCTCCACTATTTTACTGACAACAACACTGCGAGCTGGAGGAAGAAATTTTTTCTTGCTGTGAGCAACCGAACTAGCGGGAGCTGCTGGCTGAAATGAGTGATCTCCCAGTTCTTCAAACAGCAAGGCTAACGCATACGCTGCATCCAGGTCCGTTGGTTGCTGAATGCCCACCAGCAAGCGGATGGATGGTACTAACCCTTCCATGAATCTTGTGACATAATGGACTTGACTGGGATTGGGCTCATATGCGGACAACTGATCAAATAGCTCAGAGAAATGCTCCACGTAATCTTCTACTGTGTTGGTCTGACGAATGTTAAACATCTGCCTGAGGATATGTTGATGCTTATTGCGCCCGAAACGAGACTGCAGTAGCGAACAGAATTCAGGCCAAGCTACACCTGGAGCACGGCGCTGGACGGACTCCAACCAGCGAGCAACTGTTCCTTCAAACAGAGCGGTGGTGAAGGGAATCCACTGGTGCGCTGGTCTGTTCCAGAATCTGAAGTAGTCCTCACATCGCGACTGCCACAACTTGGGGTTAGATCCATCGAATTTGGGCAGTTCGATCCGAGGACCGGAACCAGAGGAATCCGCGGCGAAGGGGCGAAAAATTTCCGGTACCTGATTCGGCTGCCTGAGCACGATCTGGTCTTGTTGCATACCTCTCGCTTGTGGTGGAACGTACTTGGGCGTCGGAGGCCGTGGATCCACCTCCGGTCGGAGCCCTTCCTGGCTCGCCGTACCGCTTGCCAGAACCGCGAACTTGGTGGTGGCGGATGGGGGACCTTGAGAAGTTGGCGATGTGGGCGACGACGCAGCGCCGCGGTCCGCGGCCATCTCCCCGCGCACCATTATCACCAATTCTCTCAACTAGTCTCCATTATCACCAATTCGAGCTACAATTCATGAATCCATGGGTGGGGATCGAAGGAGGAGGAAGGATTAGCTGTTACAACACGGAAGAGTAAAGTAGCTTTCCAGGCGGCCGTTCGCCAGCCACTCACGCGTTATGGACAGGCTTAAGTACAGTGCCCACATGGGCCAATTCCGGGCCAGCCAGCGGAGCCGGCAGGCGAGGCTGCCTCCTGGGCCGGCCCACTACTTGCGCTTGTTCGTCTGGAGCTTCGGTGCCTTGCTCATTGCCGCTGACATGCTGCCGCCCGGGCTGTGGAACGGTGCTGTGAAGACGTCGAACGGTTGGGACCATGCTCCTTTGAAGTAGAGCGCGTTGGCGAGGACGACCGTCGTGGACGAGTGGACGGAGCCGGGAGGGAGGATGTCACGGATGAGCTGCTTCGTCACGTCCGACACGAAGGCGTTCACGCACCGCCTCGCCTGCTCGGCCCCCAACACGAAGTCCACAGATTCCGTTGTGGCGCCGTAGCGCGATGCGCTGGTGGCCATGAACTCCGGCCTGAGCGCCCGCCTCCGGTCGACCCACACGCCGCAGGCGAAGGACGTCTGCGTCAGGCCGTTGAGCCTGCCCACAAGCTTGATCGCCGGCGTGCGGTGCAGCTCGTCGAGCGACGCTGACCCGAGGAACCCCAGGAGCTCCCTGCGCGTCTCGCCTCGCGCGCTGGCGGCCACCAACGCGAGCGTCGCGTGGATGGACAACGGCGAGACGACGAAGTTGCTCCCCGTTATGGCTGCCTCCCGGATACTGGCATCCCTGGCGAGAGGCAGGCCCGATGCTTTCCCCGCAGCGTCGCTCGCTACCGCAGCCTCCTCCGCAGGGTGGCCACTGGGACGAGGAGGCGCGTCGGCGAACAGGGTAAAGCAGAGGCGCCATGCGGCGAACAGGGCCAAGCAGAGGAGGACGGCCTTCCCGGAGCGCGACATCGCCGGAATCACCGTGGATTCGTGGTAAGATTCAGATAGGATCTGGTGTCGAAGACGGTGCCGGCGGCGAGCTGAGCCCCTCCCTCTCGCGTGTGGGTTCGGTAGGGTTTGGTGAACAATGGACTGGGCTTCGCCCATACTTGCTGGTAACATTTATCTAAAAAAATTATCTCAAAAAAATTATTAAAAAAAGTTTCTCAAAAAGAAAAAGAAAAATATCTCAAGCAAAACTCAACTCGAAAATAAAAATTTGCTGGCAACTCTAACCGGTCGGTGACCCATTTCGTCTGCCCACGTCCGTTTTGGTCGTCGTGGACAAAAATGCTGGCCCAACAAGCCGACCTATTCACAAAACGAGTCTGCTTTGCGTCCGCGCGGACCCATTTCCAGCTCAAATGTTGGCCTCAAATGCGCCAGCGCGGACGCGCCGCGCGTCCGCTTGGTGTTCGCCGTGTCCCTACAAGGCAGCCGGTCAACTACCTCTCACGTCTTTATTAATGAGTCACGTTAGCGACAATGAGTCTAGCCACCCTGCTGCTCCCCCGATGGCGAAAACCCTAGCCTAGCTCGCGCCATGATGGGCTTCTT